CTCTCTCTCTCTCTCTCTCTCTCTCTCTCTCTCTCTTAGGAGACCTCATTGACAATGAGGCCATTGCCCAGATTTCTGTACTCACCTTGACACCTCACTCCAGCAAAGCTCGAGCAGAAAGCAGGCAAAGGCTGCTGCATCTGACAAGCATTGAGATGTTCCTCGCTCCCAGAGCACTCGATACGATCAAGAAAGATTTCTTTTGGGTTCGGCAAAGACGACTTGGGTAACGTGTAGGACGAGATGGGAGCCCTTTCACGAAATCCAAAATGTCGGCATGCAACACGGTGCACATGCGTGGAATGCATCCAGTGATCGCCACACGTGCCATACCACTCTGTGCTATTGATGCAACGAATCAGTAGAATACCTTCGTTTGGCAAAACTCCATATGCAAGGCGGAAATCTAGATCTTCATAGTTAAAAAAGCATGAAAGAGATGTAATTAGTGCTTACGTCAAATACCACGTGCCTAATTTGTGTGCTTTACGAGCGTAACACACTGAGACGAAAAAACGACTACGTAAAATTACAACGCCGGAAATCTATACTAGTTTCTTTGAATTCAAGGCCGATGATTAGAAAAATTAATAACATAGATATGCCCGCAATCTTTAGATCTCACATACCCATGCCACAAGCGACCCAAACAGCTTCATCTAACGCGCATGGGATGTCGTTCTCCGGATTGAGCGTCAGTTTACAAGTAGCAGCAACAGGCGAAACAAGGCAAACCTCGAAACCCTGCTTTAAAGGAAAACCGGCCAGCTTGTCCCGTTGCCTGAAGCTCTGCACGTTCTCCAGGCTTTTCAAGCCGCAGAAAAACTTGTACCCAATCCTTCGGCAAACCTCGGCTCCAAAAAGGGAGGACAGGTCAGAATTGGGACTGCAAACTGTGTTCCACGTCTCATTGATAGAACTGCGAAATTGAAGAACACCTTCATTCTGGGCAACTCCCCCAAAGAGCCGAAACGTCATCACCTCACCTGTAAAAACAAGTCAGCATTTTGAGGGGCGTCTACCTTTTGTTTCCGTAGACATAATAGAATTGTGTTGTTTTATCAGTGCTCAAACATACCTGAACCATCTTGCGTTTCGTTAGCAGTTGCATTGGAACATATAACACCCACGTCTTCACTGTGACTGCAGTCATGAACACCCCAGGTTGCATGAGGGCAGTCTGCGAGTCGTTCCTCATCACCAGAGCAATGAAGGTCGTCCAGCAAGATATTTCCAGAGCCCTCACCAAATTTAGTGTGCCCCGAGATAACACCTCTGAAGCCTAGTTGACGGCAAACAACTATAGCGTCTGGCAGTCTCCAAAGGTCGTCGCATATTGTTCCCCACTGGCTGGGCAAGTAAACTTCCACCCGTCCTTCAGAGGACGAATTCCCTCCAACCAGCCGGATACTACCAACTGCAGAATGGTTAAAACGACATTAAAGAGAATTGTAGGACATAACTATGCCAAATATTGGAAATGTAAAAGCACTTCCTCCCAATCTGAAGTAAATAATTTTGACTTAAAAAAATTGACCCTTGGTCAAGTATGAAGCTTCAACTTGAGTCCTTCAGAGATGTCACTCTTTGAATTACGTGTATATTGTAGGTAAAACATAATTACCTGTTAAAGAGGGAATTTCGTTTTGGTTCCTAAGATCAGATGAGCAAATTACACCGGCATCTTCACTGTGGCTACAGTCATGAACGCCCCAGCCTTCAAAAGAGCATTGTGCAAGGTGGGATTCCTGCCCGATGCACCTGACCTCGTCCATGTAGATGAATCCCGAACCTGCTCCAAACCAGACAGAGGCAGACATAGCGTAGCGGTATCCGAGGAAACTGCATACTACCGTGGCGTCGAGAAGGTCCCATGCGTCGTTGCAGACGGTTCCCCAAGTGCCGTTGACTAAACGCACCTCGACTCTGCCCTCTGACAGTGCCTGACCGTCTGCGAGGCGAACATCTATTATATCTGGAAAGAAACCAGCTTCTTCTCCCAAAGGCTCTGAAAGGAACAAATTAATGGTAGTGTTTTCTTCATTGGTATTATGCCAATGTGTGAAAGGTTTGGTAAGTACGTGAGGTACTGATTTCTGTGTATGTGCCATGCAGCGTTCATTTGAAATAATCATTGTATTTTAAATAATTATTATACGGAGAAAGACAGCAAAAATAACAGATGCAGCAGTGATACACGAGAAGGCATTGAATTAAACAAAGCCCATGCGTCATACCTGAGCAAATGACGCCAGCGTCCTCGTAGTGACTGCAGTCATGCAGTCCCCAGTCGTCGTGCTGGCACTCTGCTAGGCCCATCTCGTCTCCGACACAGTCCACCTCGTCCAGGTAGATGAAACCCGATCCCTCGCCGAACTCATTAGAGGCAGCCCGGGCATAAGGGTAGCCGAGCGAACGGCAGACCACTGTGGCGTCTAACAAGTCCCAACTGTCGTCGCAGACGGTCCCCCAAGTGCCGTTGGGCAAACGCACCTCGACTCGGCCTTCCCACTCTGCTTTACCGTCAACGAGGCGAACTTCCAATTTGTTGAGAAGCAAACCAATTTCCTCTCTCGAAAGTCCTGAAAAACGAAGACTAAACTTCAAACTGTTGCTATGGTTTCTTTGATGTGATGCTTAGTAGATTTGCCAGAATTTTGTTAAAATAAGGGATTATTGCTCCTGCTTGGATATATTGCACAACATCATAATGTGGGTCATTAATTGCATATTGTAAAATTAGCAGAAAGGTTAGGCAGCAAGACGGCGACAAAATGTAAAGGAACAAATGTGCAGGATGGTTTTACTTCATCTTTCCCAAGCCTCATACCTGAGCAAATGACGCCAGCGTCTTCGTAGTGACTACAGTCATGCCGTCCCCAACCCGCGTGCCTACACTCTGCTAAGGTCAACTCATCTCCGATACAATCCACTTCGTCCAAGTAGATATACCCTGATCCCTCGCCGAATTGAACAGAGAACGCCAGGGCATCAGCGTAACCAAGAGAACGGCAGACTACCCTGGCGTCCAACAAGTCCCAGTTGTCATCGCAGACTGTCCCCCAAGCACCATTGTGATACACCTCGACTCGTCCCTGTAGTGCTGAACCACCGTTCACGAGGCGCACTGCTCCATCGTCTAAGAATCAACAGATCCTTGGTGACGTAAGTGTGTCACATTTAAACTGTCTTCTTCTCTTTAAGCGAACAATTCGTGTATGTTGTTTTACAAGTGAATAAACCTTCCTGTAGAAACCAGTCTCTTGGTGTGCATTTTATTTTCCTTACGATCATCGGTAAATAGTTTAGGCCTAATGAATATTATTATATGAATACTATAACAAGTGTTTCTTGATTTCACTGCGTGTGTCCCGGTTTAGTTCAGTAAGTCCTATCATATAAGGATAGTTATGAAAAGTGGATGAGTGTGTGCTGTCCAGGGAATGCATCTTTTGTTCAGTACCATGGTTAGTCAAGTGTCAACATTTTAAGCTGGAGGTCGTCGGTTCGAGTCCCACCCGAGTAAGCTTGTGACTTTTTTCGCTCTCTGACAAGCACTGAATGTTTATAGAAAAACCGCTTAACTAGAGATGGTTGAATTACCATCTGACAGAATAGTGTGTCAGTATCAATCAGCGGATTAAGGCACCTTTCCATATGCGCGTCAACACTTGAGCCGAGCGTTGCGTATCTGTCAAAATCGCTCCTTGGGTGATTGGGCGATGTATGTCATGTTAATAATGAAGCCGATTTTTGTGTCCGTGAAAGTGAAACTCATGAATGCATTGTGTACCCATCGCATCCCAAAAAACGTACATATCGCATATAGAAAGGCGCCTTTATCCGATGATCCAAAGCCGTAGACATTATAAATTTCCGTTTTATATAAAGCTCCATAAATTGCTACTCTGCTATTGCAACTTCCAAAAAAAAATCTAATTTAATGTTTACACGTTCCTTTCGGGGCCAGCAAAAGAGTAACAGATTGCTTTCCGGAATTGCATTTCAATATGGTGGATAAATACTAAATCTACGACGTCAAATATATGCTACCCACTGACTTACCTGTCTGCATCGACACATCAAAAATCCAGCACACTAAGAACAGTACACATAATCCCTTTGCCTTCCTGTCCCACATGATAAGCTTGCATTTATTGAATTCTATTGGCTTGTTCCTTCTCCCACGCTTGGGACTCGCGAGAAGTAACGGAGACCACGGGCGTCCGTTGAGCAACGTCCACTTCGTTATAGAGACCTCAGCCGTGTGGCTAGCCTGGGCGTAAGACAATCGATGCACGCACAGTATCTGGGAGATTTGAGAGGTCAGTTTTACGAGGCATGCTCGTGTGACTCCCACTGAAAAGCGTTCTTAGGTTGCGGTGGCATGTACGCAAATGTAACACATTCACTGTGATTTGGCGGACAGGGCACAGACTGAGGCTACTTCGGTCACTGCCATAGCCAATAATAAGGCTACTTTTAACGTTGGTATTTCGGTCGCTCGTTATGTGATGCACAATGCAAGTTGAAGCTCTGGCTGGAGCGCCTGTCTGGATGGGTTTAGAGACCGTTAAATCTTAAACTTGCTGCAGAGATTATATGAAGCAGATCCATCAAACTTGGTCATTTGAGAACGGTTAAAAGCATAGGTGTGAGTTAGCGTGTGGCCGTGCTGATAGCGAAGACCTCGTGCATGCATATTGCTGTTCCCAAAGGACCTTGGAGTCAAGACACGCTTCATTTGGGGCAATGCAATAGGTCAACCAGTATCATTTATCAGGTTTCACTTGTCTCTACCTTTGTAAAAGAGAAGAGAATTCTTTTTTTTAATGGTCAATAAAGTTCAACGTAAACACTAACATTAAACTCCTCTTAGGCCTACATTTCCAGTATGGAACACATACCTGCATATTTACACAATTACACATCTACCTGTACATTTGGCAAGTCAATCAAGTTCCCATCTCCCCCTACCATAGGGCTAGCTCAATGATCCTACAGGCACCTTGTCATCATCTATAGAAGTGTAAACACTCCAAATGTATCATGTACAATGTACATGCATCACAAGACAGGCCAGATTTTTGACGGTATATTGAGCTAGGTAAAAACAACCAACTTTTTTTTTGATAAGTGCTTCTGCAAAAATTCCACCAGTTAAAAACAAATGAGAAAGTAGATTGGTATCATTTTAAATTACATAGTTTTTTTTACATAAGAACGTCCGTAGTTAATTCTACAGTTCTCATATGATTCTTATTTTTGGCACCGGCCAAGGAAAAACCTTTATGAAGCCTCCGACCCTGTCTTGAATTTCATACTTGGAGGAAAAATAAACTGAGGTATTTCCAAAGGAAAGCAATTAGTATCTTACCCACCTTTTCATCGACAGACCAAACCTTCCTTCAATTAAAAAATGAGAATCATAGAAATAACTCCAGACGCTCTAATAAAGCCACACACAATGCAAATTCAGTTCCTTTGAAAATGAAGAAAATAAACAAAAGTAATACGTAAATACCGTAGCCACACCGATCATGTCCAAATAAGGCATCCACTTTACCTATCGTTTTCATAGAGCAATTTTTCGAAATAAAATATGCATATACTGCGCTATACACTTAGTGAACGAAATGCGACATAAGCGGAGATTTTTTTACAATTAATCAATTATTTACTGGCATGAATATAAACAAGAAATTTTAGTTTTCATCACTTTGTTACTGCTAAAAGTCTTTTCAAGTTGCATTAACGCTGAGTTCTGATTGAAGCATGCATGCATGCATACAGACATCTTGAAACTAAGCAGGCAGAATGGGTTCGCACTATAATCCATCAGGATAATTATACATCCATTGAAACCGTATCACCCTCAGGGAAAAGATCACCCTACCCAAGCCAATCACTCAGATACATTTAACTCGTCTTCACTTTGAAGAAAAAGCGTTTTGCCAAATGGACCTCGGAAATTGAGGTCAGGTAGGCTGATATTTTTTTATTCAGATAAATTAGGATAATCTAAAAGCAACAAACAATATCCGTTCAACAATTTTTTTGATTTCACTGTACTCAAGTTGGTCTACCCAAGGCTTTTAAATTTTATTACCGTCTTCATTTGTCAACTTCAACTTTTTTTGGAATTATTTCGCTGTCGTCTTTCACATACAAAGACTATACCAAGTCCATTAATTCAGGCTGTTCGTCTCGCTGACCGTTCAACTTCTCACTGTCAAAGTGATCAGTGCAAATGACTATTCTTTTTTAATGAAATCATGGTTTACATTAAATTTTGTCTTCACAGATTGATTTTCCTATGAATTTGCATTTCAACCATAAAGGCAAGTCTCTTTCATGATGAGCCGTGACGTTGTCCCATCAGTATGGAACTTGTATTTTAAAGCTTGGTGTCTTCTGGTACATTGAGTGCACTAACAGAGGAGATTGTCGCGGGCGTGTTGGATCCGTGGGTGTTATTTTTGGAAGCGGACGGAGCTCCTTTTTTCGGCTTCTCTTTTGGTCCTTCCAACTTCTCCTTCCACAGACCTCGGACCCTCTTGTTGAGGCAGAAGGCGATGAATATGAAGACACCTTGGAGGTAATTGAGGATGATGTAGATGTAGGAGAAGGCCAGGATGCCCGTTACTGACTGAGATACGAAGCCAAATAGCCAGGTCACGCCAATGAGAGTGCACAGCTGGTGAAAATTAGAAGCAATCCAATAAAGATTTGTCGTTATTATTATTATTGTAGGTTTATTCAGTCACATGTTTGCAGCCCAAGGGCTGAACTACACGGTGATTTTTGTACACGTTTTAGCCACTTTTTGTAGTAAAATAAATCAAGCAAATTTTGCCTAAGAGACGAGTCCAGTGTAGTATCTGTGCGGAACTAGCACAACTACTTTTATCCAGAGCTGTTTTAGAGTTGTAACATTAGTGTCTCAATTGCTTGAACCAAAATGATGGATTATGAGCCTGTCCACGTGGACATTTAGAATTAAATAGTTGCAACCTGTATATGCTGGGTTTGGAAACTTTGGAGCTTCTTACCTTGGAATAGATGGCGACCTCCTTTGTGGCGCCTTCAATCCTCCCTTGCCTCCGAACGATCTGTGTGGCGCGCCTTCTCTGTCTGAGTCTAACCACCGTGACAACATACAAGCTGGTGCTGGAAACAAGACTAATCCCAACTGGCACAACAAAGACGACCAGACGCACGGTGGCGTCAGTGATCCAGCAAACAGCACCCTCCGAGTAGATCACGGGCAGACTGGTGCAGTCACAGTACTGGAGAACCAAGCAGATGACAACGATAGCAAAAGGCATGCCCCAGGCCAAAGTCATGTAGGCCACCAGCGTCCAGTTAACACCTGATGACAACTCCTTTCTCTGTATCAGCGACGTCAGGGAGCGCTCGACGTTGACCGCAATCACAGTCATGAAGGTGAAAGCGGCTAACCAGGCGAAGTGCGCTAGCACCGCCCCGAGCACGCAAGCCGTTGGATTCCAAGCCAGGTAGCCGGGCACCAGGAACATCAAAATGGCCGTGAATAGTGCCACCGTCAGGTTCATGACCAATTTGCCTGCAAGGCTCCGGAGCTCAGAAAAGACGCAGTACGTCACGAATGTGGCGGCTAGAGCAAACAGGGACAAACAACTGCCAACGAACGAGATCACACGACGGATGTATGGCTCCAAACCCTCTGGCGTCGGTCCAATAAAAGAGCAAACAACTGCTATGCCGTCGGGAAAGAGCACATATTCGCCATCCGATAGCCATGAGCCGGAAGCAGCAATCTTAATTGTACTATTCGATACTATGTGGTATTCGAGGTGATCAAGGAACAGCAAGGATGAGCAGTTCAAATCAAGGATTTTCAAGCAAATAAGGGACGCCTTCAGTTTAGAGTACTTCTGATCAATAGGGTTGGCATTATACTCTAGAACCTTCATCAATGTGTCATTATGGACTGGGATAAGTTTACTCCCGTCTACTGTGCTGTTAATACAATGGTTTGAAATGTTTAAGGCGAATGGTAAAAGAAGCGACACTTGGGAAATATTGCAAAGTAACGGTGATTCGTGAGGATCGAATCCAATAGCTTCAACGGCTTTGTCAAAGGCAAGCTCGAAGTCAGAAATATATGTGGCTGAAAGCATTACAATATATAGACTCTGGGCGGTGGCATTTGGGTCAGGTGCCTCATGCTGATGTTCCGAGGTAAACACACTCGACGTGCCAATTCCAAGGGTTTCTGACAAACAATTAATGGTGTTACTCATTGGGGTATCGGAAACCCGATCTTCGATAACACACTCATCCCCTGCAATTTGAAAACCGGCTGCACACGTCAGAACGCGACACCTACCCAGGAACGGGTCATAGATCTGACGCTCAGAGCAAGACATTCCACTGGCAGATGAGGACGAGGCGAATTCGAAGAAAACCTCAATTGTAAAAATTTTATCAATAGGACCACAGATGGAAGAACAACCTCCCCAGGGCCAGGGATCGCAAAAGTCTTGGCATGTCTGATCATTACATGAACTCTCGGCTATCGGAGACTTCCCATTGCACATTGCACAGTGCGGGTTGCGGTATCGTATGTCACTGTCGTCCGCTTTGATTGGAGCGTAATATGCTTTACAGCCTTCTTCCAATACGCTCCCTTGGAACTCTTCCAAACATGTGTCTACCAGATAAGCGGGACATTCCCGTATGAACAAGTGGTCTTTGGGTGGGGTTACAACCCAACCTTTAATTGGTAGGAATAGGTCAAAAGTAGGGTGATACCTGATGGAAGACATCCTGACGCTCCCAGAAGCGGATACATTCCACAATGTCACGTATTCTATTGATCTTCCGTTGCATATGGCACAGTAGATGTTCTTAAAATCCACACCTTTCTCGTCATACACCGGCAGCGATCCAACAACGTCTGTGTTATTCAGAGGTCTCTCGCATAAATCACGTGTGCCCTCGTCCACCCAGCTAATTGGGCAACGGTTGACTGCCACGTAGCCAATATGAGTGAACTGACTGCCTGGCACCCAGATACACCCCAACTGCTCAATGGTGAAGCCTCCACGCTCAAGGCTAGGTGGTTTGGGATCGCACACATCTTTGTAGTCGTAGCAACAGTCGTCAAAAAGAACACAGGCATCGTCACATTGACAGTAGTGGAAAATGTCATCACCCGAGCCATTGATTGGATGCTTCTGCTCGCATCTACCGCCACAGAGCTGCTTTGAACCACAGAGATATCCCGTGTCGTTATACTCAGTGACACCTTGGGCCGGGAAGAATAATTGAAAGTCACTATAAGTCACATTTACTGCAGTATGCTCTTGTCTACTTTCCATATTTCTTACTTTTTTGAAACATCCAGCCTACGCGGACATTGTTGGTCAGTCATTCATAGTGTTTGAAAAAACAGAAATATGTACTTTGAAGAGGTAAAACAGTGTCGTTTTACTTCACAACAGTTTCGTTTGAGCGTTTCGGTCAATAAGGTTGTCGTGAGTTTGCAGAGGGCAACCTCCTAAGAGCACAAAACTCCTTTCTAATTATTAACTCTGAGTAAAAATGGATTCAGCAAGATATCCATACCAGTGAAGCATTCCAGTGTGACGTAGTATTGACAGTCTCGCAGCGAGTAATGCTGGCACTCAGTCAAACTTGTCTCGTTCCCAAAGCAGCCGATGTCGGCGGACAGCGAATAGTTGGGTCGATGCTGCGGTTCCATGTCTTGGAGAGAGACCCCTTCGTATCTCAGTGCACGATCGGAATAACCGAGTTCGCGGCACATCACACGTCCAGCTCTCAAGAGATAGAAGCTGTTGCCACAAATGGCGCTCCATTCGTGTACCGGGCCACAGCGGCCTTGTACAAGCTTTCTGCGATCGTACGTCTCCCCAACCTGCCGCAGTTGGAATTCGGGCATACCTACACAGGCAAAGATTGATAAATCAGTTACTACAAGAAGAGACAGAAAAAGATCTACGCACTCCAAGTCTGGCCAGAATGCTGAGGTCATTCCAGGGTCGTCATCTGAAGGTTTCAAACAAGATCCCTTCAACATATCTAAATAGCCAATGTCTGTTACCATTGAGGCCAACTTTTGAAGGACAAATTGTAGTACTCCAATACGACTACCCTCTTAACAGACTGAGGCAACAACACGAAACATCACTATCGTTTGTCTAGACCCACACAAATATGACGCACTCGTGCNCGCCACCAAGAATTTGCAACGCATTGGCCTATCACAATGCGCGAAATTTGTCGACCCAATGCACGTTAGAAAATGGTCGACAAATTTCGCGCATTATGATTGGCCAGCGTGTTGCAAACTCTTGGTGGCGCACTTTTGGGAATCGCCCGTATTGACGACACTTAAGTGCCTGCTTGTACGTACTACGCACGGGACCTTACGCACAACCGCATTACGTTCTCGGCTAGGCGTACGTTCCTGGGTTGCCGTACACACTTTTTAAACTCACCTGAATATCCACAGGATAACCAGAGGTCATTGTCATGGGAACATGGCGGCCCATCTCCAGGGAAGCCAAAATTGAACTCTGCTAGGCTGCAGCTTCCTTCAAAGACGCTATCTGGGCTGAAGAAACAAGACTCTGCAACGACTATTCGGCTAGATACGTTTACCAGCGACAACTCATCCGTCCGTTGAGCCCCAGCCTCACTATGACCACACACAAACGGGAACCCAAGCCGACGGCACATTTGGTAGGCGGCTGTGGTGGGTAGGTACCGGTCATAACAAATGGCACGCCAGGGTGAGTCGGGGGACCAGCGTATGAGCACTCGACCCTCGTTCGGGGTAGTGGTGTTCACGAGTTGAATGTCAAGTTGGTCGATATCTTGAGCATCTGGTATTCAATTATGTAAACCTTATCAATATTTTAGCGTTAAAATTGTTCGTCTGAATGAAATGTGACTCACCTTTGAAAATGAGTCTTGAGTCACCAGAGCCACTTTTTGAGTTTTCATTTTGTATTGGAAAGAGCAAATTGAGTTTTTTTTATTATTTATCACTCAGTTTAGCATCCTGACGAAAGTGGATACTTCATGGAGAAAAATGCTAGGGGCAGTGTTGTAGTACTCGTACTCGGTACACGTACTCTAGTACTACTCAAGTACCGTTTTCAGAGTACTCATACTTGTACTCGGACATCCAAGTACTCGTACTCGAACTACAGTTCTTGTACTCGGGCTACAAAATACTCGGAACTCGACATCCAAAAATTGTACTCGAGCGTCAAAGTACTCGTTTTCGAGTAACAGTACTCGATAAAAAATCCTTTAAGTTAACTTACCACGGCCGTTAAAATAAAGTACAAAAATGTCGACTCCAATGACCCGATATTCGATACGGTTCTGACAAAGAGAAGGCCGAACGTGAGACAATTAACGTACGACCCATTTGCCGTCTGTGCGCGTAGTTAACCAATAACGTACGCAATTTATATTGTGGTACTCCAGAATTTACTTGGGCATTGGTAGTCTGGTTCTTGGACCCGAAAATTCTAACAACGAACCCAGCATGCATAAAATCACAAGCTTGATCGAATCAAAATCAATCAAAGTGGCTCTTGCGACTTAAGACTCATTTTCACAGAGTGGGTCACAAATACGCTGCTGTACGTGCCTCGAAAAACAACGAAAGCCTTCGTGTATATTTCAATCATTTCACTAACTTTCAAAAATGTAAGCAGAAAATTTGCTTTCCAATTCAATGAAAGGAACGAGCTAGTTTCCATTTTTCTCTAAAATTCGTTATTCGTCATTTGAAAAACAAGGCAGCAGCCAAGGAGTTAAATCACTGAGTTGGTTTATAGTCATGTCCATTCGTGTCTGTCCTGCAGTTGCTGCATTCAAACTGATAGCTACTTATTCCAAATTTTGAAACGCTCACTTTCAAACTCTCTTCCTTTTATGGGCAAAACACCCTAAGTCAGTGTTAAGCTATGATCATCAATGATGCTTTAACCTTAAAGGAACCGGTTTGCTTTGGCCTATCTCACAGCAAGGGGCGGATTCCCACCCCCAAGAACTCGGCTGTGCCACGCCTGATTTTTTTTTTTACTTGGCATGCATTATCAAAACATACAGTACTCCAAATATAAATACATATCAGCATTTAAGTATAATAAACAGAACCATTGCTTGAAAGGCATATCCCGCTTAAATGCCAAATGACTGTGTTTAATTCTTTCAGCACGATTTAGTATCCCCTCAACTCATACAATCATCAGACTTGAGAAACAAAAACATTGCATTTGAAAACAAATACACATTAGACCCTAGAAAAGAAAAAGAGACGAACATTTTATAAATGTATATAGTTTCTCTACCTCAGCACCTTCCCATGAGTATACAAATTTCAGTTATTGATATTTTCCACATTTGTGTTTCTTTCTATAGTGTGTAGGTTGTTAAGCTGGAACTCACTGCATTTTGGAGTGACTTTCAAAAGTCTTTTTCACACTATGTATTCCGGACAAGGCCAAAAGCTGATTTTGTCAAAAGGGATATTAAAGTCATCCCTTTTGACAAAATCAGCTTTTGAATTGATGTTTTTAAGTTGTAGACACGACAAACAAGTTAATTCGACAGCAAAATGTATTTTGTATTTTACATACACAGTTTCTGCAACGAACACGTTAAAATGCCACGTAGCTATGAAACATGGAAACAGTGACTGAGGCTTAACAATTTGCAAATTACTCATGTTTCAAAAGCAAATTGCTTGTGCATTTAAAGCACAAGCACTTTGAGCCGTGCTGCAGGAAATTTGAGTCGTGCTGCAGCCGTTGATGTTGAGGTTCGTTTTGAGGTTTAGTTTAGAAAGCAGGTTTCTGACACAATAATTACTTTGATTTTTTGTACTTTTTAAATTTGTTTCAATTGCTTTCAGAAGAAAAGGAATTATCCATTGTTTTACATGTGTATTAACTCCTGTATTAAATCCAAGTTTGTACAACTTTTAGCAGCATGTGGCTCGCATAGGGCTATGCATATCTTTAAAATTTCCTTTAAAAGTTCCAATAACTTAAACCGAAAATTAACAGGAAACAAACGTGCACCGTTATAGAGTCGGAAAGTTGACCTTTGATGGCGTGCTACCGGAACCCTTGGATAGCAAAATCAACGTGCAAAAAATTTGGAATTTATATTTTTCATTCAATTGACCTATCACTTCAATGAGAGTGAAAACAACGCACGGGGCTGAAAACAAACGTGCATGAACAAGATCTAAGTACGATACCGCCAGAATTGGAATGTCGTTAATGAAATTCGTTTTTACCCATCTCCACGTGACTTTTCCTAAATATTACTTGAGGAAAACAAAGGTAAACTTCAAGATGAATGTTTCATGGGGTGGTTTTCCGTTAGAAATCATTCTTCCAAAATTTATTGAACGTTGTGGGACAGCCTCAAGTAAAAGTCCCCATTAGGGGACCATGGGAGAGTTCCGAAAGCTCACGTGATCTTTGAATTTCACTTTCACTGTCTATGTCGTTCAAACGTCCTCTGCCCTTGGTATGGAATTCTCACGAAAGATACTCACCGAGAGACAGTGGTTGCGTTCGCACGATGTCCAGATGAAGGAGAAGCATGAAATATGCCGCTATCAGCCCCACTTCCATCACGTACCAAAACCGGTTCCTCAAAAATGGCGTCCACAATTTCAATGCTGTGTCTTCCTTTTACAGGACCACCTTTCCAAAGATCTCCAGGGTGTCCCTGATCAGAATACACCGAAACTGCAGTCGTGGAAGATTTCATTTAAAATACAGAGATAGAAGATGTTGACAAATAAAAATACTGATGGTCTCTACGTGCTTTCCGTTATTCCAGCTGTTTTTGTTGTTTGTTGTTGTTGGCTATCGTTTTTTGTTATTGCTGTAATCAACTTTCTGGTAGCTATTAATATTTCTATTAATGCTACTGTTGCTATAGCTGATCCTATGGTCCTCGTTCTTGTTAAGTGGTTAGTTTCAACGTCTGTTAAGGTACTTAGTGGATAAAATTGATATCCAGTTGAATTACGGTTGTGAAAACTACAAGAATGTGGATGCAGTTGACCTGAAGTACAACTTTTTTCCTCTCTGAAAGGGCCTTTTGTATAAATGCTCTTAACCACACCAATTACCATTTTCTAAAGGTTTTAGATAATAACCGGAATTGGCCCTTGACATTGATTGACGAGGCCACCGTCTTCCATCCTTTAATCTTCCCAATTCGGCAAAAATTGTCGAGTCAAGAATGAAAGATTAAAAAACACGGATGACACTAACAGGTGGCTGTTCGTTCCCTGTGCATAAGATGAACTGAATCGTTGCACAGATTTTACGCGGACGGTTTTGAAAATTTAAATGTAGCACATTTACTGGACTGAACTGCACAAAATGTGATTGACAGAACTATATGTACCAGTTAGGACACCTTTTTAGTCCTCTTTCCATCCGAGGTTTCGTTTCAATTTAGCTTAAAGCAACTACCGACTCCCCTAGTTTGCCCCAAACATGTAGCCTCCTTGAGGTCGGTATGTGTGAATGATGAAGGAAACTATACAAAATATTCAATATACCACTATTAGTTTGCTTACAGAAACTCATACTTTTTACATACTTTAATGTGAAAGTTCTGTTTGTTCAGAAATGGATTTGAAATGTCAGCAAGCAAAATGACAGCGAGGTCAGGGTCACCAACTTTTTTTTCAGATCACGCAAGTCATTCACATTGCACTGAGCTATCATGCAGAGCGTTGGATTCAGGATGGGCTGCAATACTGCTATTGAATTCCTCTTCCGGTTTGCTTTGTCCCTTTGTTTTGCTGTGCGGTTAGGCCCATAGCATAGGCCCAATTGTTTCATCAAGGGCACTACTGTCGGCAGCGTTTTGTACAATTGCGTAGGAAGAGAAGCACACTAGATCTGAGTTCAGAGAAATCCTGCCTTGTGTAGAAAGCAGTTGTTTTGTAAGCATTCGTTGTGCCTGATAACGTTGTCGCTTTTCATTCTTAGAGTCTGGTCACCATGACAAGTGATATGTCCTTTAACTGTTACTGAAACATGTGGGGTCGGCATAGTTCTTTTTTGTGTTTGTCCAGCTTGATCGCAATTTCGAAACTGAGTTTTGAACACAAGTAGAAGCTGTCAGTGTTGCGCAGGAACCCAGGTGAGCTACGTTGAATTTGGATCGTGTGCATTAAGATATCTACAGTCCCTGTAGAGGCATACTACTGAAATTGCAGCCAGAAGGCCTTTTGAAAAAATTACACGTTTGTGATTGTTTGTTTTAAGAGTCTTTTTAGAGCACATGTATGTGTAAATAATTAAGTGTCATACTGTTATATGAATCCAGAATAATTAGCAACACCGCCTATCCATGCATTGCTGATTTAGATTTTTATACATGTACGTATATCAACGACCTGGTTAAGATTTCCCTATAAAAGTGCCAAGGTGTTAAGGGTGGATGTGATATTCAACCTAGAATGAGATTTTGGCAGGGATTATCCAAAATCACACCTGAGCCAGAAATCACATTCAGTATTATGTTGTTAAAGTCTAACTCAAGGTGTGATTTTGTACTGTCTTGGATGTGGTTTCGGGCTCGGATGCGATTTAGTGTTGTAGATAATCCTTACCAAAATCATGTTCAGGCGAGTCATCTTTCCATTTTGTTGGGAAATCGTATCCAGGCCGTTGGGTCAAGGCTGATTTACATGTCCTTCATAGTAACTCCGTGATCTATGGAGGTCACAAAATTATGCATGCATGATTCACTTGCGCAATGCAATAATTGGCTTCAATTATTTTGGAGGTACAATGTAGATTGGCCACCCAACAGTATATAATAGATCCTGAAAATCAACACGAGAGAAAAAAGCGGCAATTGCTTTCCACAAATAACCGAGCCAATGTCGGAAACACGCGAGGTCAAAATGTTGGGTTGATGACGTCATGGGGAGAAAGGCACAGCAGTCAAGCATGAAGCATGCGTAAAGAGACATGTAAGCTGGCATAGTTGCTGCCCCGGAATGCATTAAAATGAGTTTTGATGACGTGTAGGAAGTGCAAAATATTATACATTAATCTCCAAGATGTATGAACAGGGTTTGCGGATACACCATGTGGAAAATATTTCTTTTGAGTATGTGTGGTTCTGAAAAGGACCAGTGACAGTGAGTGCTCTGTCCATGTTCAGGACTGATGCAAACCAACTATGCTGCTGATTATATGCTGTGGGTAATCACTGGGGCCTGAGAATTGGAATCCAAGCTATCTGGGTACTGGGGCGTGAAGGCGGGAACTGTGCTGAGAGCTGCTGTGGCTGCTCATTGGCGCGTGTCAGTTGGTGTTAGGGGGCTGGAGAGAGTGCCGGATGTAGGGGACCCATGTGGCACTGAAGGTTGGGAGTCCGTGGGTATAGGGGACCCGTTGGACAGGAGGGGGCGCTAAATATCACTAATGTTAAAGCCGCCGATGTCTTGGGGGACCGTCTTGCTCTTGAAGATTTCAATGGCCTCGCAGATACGTCGGTTATGCCATTGGTCGATGCTGGCGATAAGATGTGCTTCATGCCACTTGATAGCATGGTCTGTTTCATGTAAGTGTTTAACAATGGAAGATGGACAGAGCACTCACTGTTCGAAACGTCAACTAACCTGTTCTGTTCAGAACCACACATACTCAAAAGAGATATTTTCCTCATGGTGTATCCGTAAACCCTCTACCTTATCGTATTCCACCATGCAAACCTTCAAGAGCTAGAGAACACTCGTGTTCACGTGCAGTGTGGCAACACAGAACAACGCGGTCAGCGTAGGAGTCCAGCACCCAGACCTGAATCTTTGGCTGAATTGCGGGCTGCCTTGTAATGTGTGCACACGTGAACCTTCTAAAAAAGTCAGCAACCCACATGCGGACTTGTTTATTGCCGAGGCTACAGTTTCAATGTGTCTGAGAAAAAGGGATAAAAATATATATGGGATTCTTCTCATGAAAGTGAGTACATTCAGTTCCTATGAAAGTAACCATTTAGTCGTCGATGAATGAGGACGACGACACGGAACCTTACAATGTTGCAGGGCTACTGTGGTGGTCCCAAACCTGACCGTGCCGGTCCAGCAGCGTCAGCACAGCACTGCCGTCACCGGCAGATGCAACACAACACAAGCAGTGGGCGAGGCTTATGCGTCACTTCTCTCAATTTGGAGTGCTTTTGCAGACACTGGGTATTGTCAAAGCAGTCCTCAAAAATCCTTGGCATATTATTTTCTGTCTGTGACAATCGGGAAAGTTTAAAATCAACCGTTATCGCGCTGTCCGGGAACGATTGGTTCAACGCGTTATTGCACGGAAGCGTCGAGACCAAGTCTCAGTGTACGGCTTACGAGATTCCGAAACCACAAACTGCACAATCCCGGAGTATGTTTTATTTTATGGAAAAATACAATAAATCATGCAATTAAACTTGATGGATGGAAAAATCAACGAAGTGGACAAGAGCCGCGCGAGAACATTGCATTTATGCTTGTTGCTCTGCAACAAGACTAGCTTGAAAGATTGAGCCAACACACTATTTATAACCGTAACCTCCTAGGGTGATGTAAAGTCACTTTGAAAACAAGGAATTTGGGACTGTTAGGGTTACATGATCAGTGTTTCTAAAATCGGAGCGAAAAGGGGACTCGCTGAAGCCCCGTTTGGGACGTTTCTTCGGCAATAAATGGGAAAGGTGTTCAATTTTTTTTTCATGTTAATTTTGAAAATTGGTCTTGCCACTTATTGCTTTTAGGTTATAATTTGGGAATTAAAGTTTTCTTTCCCCACCTCTTTAAAATTTAAGACTCGTTACAGCACCCTTACATTAATATGAACGTTGAAGAGCAACTCAAAATTAACTGTAGGGAAAATAAAGGTGTTCCTTTAATTGTTAAAATGCTTATTCAGATTTTTTACATTTTGTACGGCGGTGTTAAATTAATATACAGCACGTGGGCCAGCAATGAAGTCACTTGCACAAGTTCATTGCCCTTGTGGCCTACCTGCGAGTAACAAGAAGAGGCTCCAATTTCCCTTGGCGTTTGGTTTCAGGAAATAGCACCCTCTGTTGGTCACTCGCAGTCCCTCTTGGAACATAGGTGTGCATTATTCTCACCGCTAGTTTATGCATGTGTAATGTCATTTTTATAAAAAAGCTAATAAAAGAAAACCTAAAGAAGTCTGAAGTGTCTGGGATAAAAAAAAACATGTAGTCGAAACCTTTTAAGAGTTTGTCGCTCTATTGTTAATTTCTACAAAATTCAAAATACGCACAAGAAAAGCTGCACCCTAAACCTGATTGACACAAATGTTCTGCATGCATGTAAATTGTAAAATGACATTTACGTACGGTAATCAGAAGGCTTTCGGTTTTAGATGTAAGCTCCAGTCTCCATGAAGAGTTTGAGACTTCAAATCGGCACACAAAAGTTATGCAGACGAAATTTCCAGAAATGTGAAAGTATCAGATTCGTACGCGTGTCACAGACAAGTTTCAGTTGAACTGTGTTTCCCTCCCATCGTCAAATCGTTTTGACTCTAAAGGCAGAGAAAATAAATACGGCCAAGGTAATATTGCTGGTACATCCAAGATCAGATGGCAATAAGTGTTTTGTTAAAACCACGATAAAATCCGGCTATGGGCGGGGAATAATTTTTATGATTCCATCAAATGCAATCTGCCGGTATCTTTACAGGTGAAATCCACTGATTTACCTTGAGATTTCATTTTTTTTAAATCCTCCCTTGGCACAATTGACGACACGGGTCAGTTCATAAACACGTTAGAAAGGCAAAGAAGTCACGTGCGGGTAAAACTGCCGGTGGTTACCATCATAGAGACATGCTTTTTGCTATTTTATAACCTTGAACAAGTGTTTCTTCAGTTGACAAAGGAAAACAACAAAACGCCTACACCAACGCAAGAAGGGCAGTTTGTCAACATTCACATAAAAATGAGGACAAATTCGATGGACGACCATTTGTCGAGTACTTGCCAATTTTCCCGGTAAGCTGGTCACAAGATATATCCTGTGTACCAGGTGAAAACAACTAGTGGCTTGTGTGTGTCGCACTTGGCACAAAATTAAACAGCGGTCATAAAGTTGCTTTGTGACAAATAATACTAATTTTGTTATATTGCTACCTGGCTAAGCTGGGATGTAACTAAAGTGGATGTAATTGAGCTTCATGCGATAGCGATTTTTCAATTTGACATATCTCTGGGTAAAGCCTTTTTTGTTTTATAAGGACAATAAGGCTGTACTCTCAGCTGGATCACCCTTTCAAGCGCTAAAAGCTTTCTGCAGACTGGTAATAACCGGAAAAGGACAATTGGCATTGATTGATGAAAATCTTTCACCCTTTAGGCTTCCCAATTACTCTGTTGTTTTGAATCAAGCCTGATTATGCAAAGAACTGGTTGTACGTTCCCAGGCATAAGATGGACTGGTCCACCATTCGGCACCCTAATGTATTTAATATTACAATCACATCAGTATTGAATATTTTGTAAATCTCAATTAATGTTTTTACTGGCATTGAATTATACGAAATTTGAGTGAGAGAATTACTCACCAGTTGGCACGCCTTTTTAGTCATTTTTCCTTTATAAGCTAAAAATCAGACTCTAGCTTCCTCGTTTGCCCCACACTTGGCGTCTAAAACAGCAAGTACATGTGCATTTGGAAAAAGGTCGAGTTATTTGAAAAAATTTATTATGGAAAACATTTAAGACCATCATTCTGCGTGCAGGAAATCGACTAATGGTTAACAAAATGACTATCGCTCGAACGCGCCCTCAGTTTTCTGTACTTTACAGACCCATACATGTGTGAACCCATAAGGGCTCGCAATGTGTTCTACAAACGATTAAAGGCATCTTTCCATGGGTGTGTTCGATTAGCTTCCCTGAATACATCAGTGTTACACGCAAGGGAAGCCTCAAAATGAGGCTAATCGAACGCTGCAGTGTAATCGCCAAGGCATTTAGGGAAAGAGGTCAAGTCCCCGCCACGTTCCATCATGCTCATGCTCGAACGGTCAACCGTTGCGTCATTACACTCGAGCAGCCTCCAGAGACTCGCTCGCCAGCCGGGGTAGTGGTGGCTGATGACACCAGAGCAGGCACGAAGATCACGTGATGGCTAAACGAACGCTCTCGTGTAAGTTTGACTTACACGTGTAAGCTAATCGAACGCACTCCATATGTACGTTTTTGGAGTGCAAGTTACGTACGCGATGCACTCATGCGCTTCACTTTCACGGACACAAAATCGACTCCATTAACGTAACACACGTGTGCGTTGCGCTCGGCCGTCAAAATAGTCCCAGGAGCAATTTTGACAGATACAATGGCACAAATGTTTACGCGCATACGGAAAGGCGTTTTTAAGGTCTCGTCATTACGAAGTGGCCTCAAGAAGATACATGGGCGTGGGGTATATACAGAACGAAGAAGCTCAGTAATAAACTTGTCTGTAATTCTCGAGATATCCAAACATCCAGCAAACAGAAAGATTGTGCCCCCTCTGTAAATTTCATGTGCTGCGTTTCCATGTCTTTCTTCCGTCTGTATAAATAGATCATCGTTCGCAAACAGATCTTCGTCATTTCTACAAGAATGAAGACTAATTTCTGGAATATTGTCCTGACTATTTTCGGTCTTGCAACCCCGAGCTTCCATCAGCTTATGCCATTAACAGGTACGCATACCGTCTCCAGCCTGCATGAACTGTTTGAAATTGTATCTTCACACCTTTGCTCTTACAGCATTTCATCTAGTAGACCCAAAATTAAAACGGGCATCCGTTAATGCAGGGCTCTTCTTGTGGCGAACAATATGCACCTTGAAAAAGATTGCCACCATCTATTTTGACGACTTCAATTATCTTAGTATGTGTTTGATTTGATATATTGCGCACTCCGCACTGTTTCTGCTGCCTTTGAACATCTGTACACAAACTTTAAACCCTTTTGCTACAAGGCTCACAGTGGCTCTTGTAAATTGACAAATTTCATTACACCTGGGTTTGTTACTCAAAAAAAGCTTTAGTAAGCCTTTGGATGTTTTTTCTTCAGGCCGGATTTCAACTGATCATTTCCGCTTGATCGGAGGACAGGACCTCAATGAAGGCCGCTTACAGATTGCACATGCAAATGACGGGTCGTGGTCAACCGTTTGCACCGATGTCAACGCCATTAACGATGCTATCGGGTTTGCGCTATGCGCCCGTCTGGGTTATCAGGTCGCCTGCAAGTACGGAACGGGGGCCGAGTTTTCTAGCCCAGATGTCGATCTCGGTTCGGTCGAGGAGGTGAGCTTTGGAAATTGTGATATTGGGTCAACGTATACGGAGCAGGACTGCGACATTACCGGAATCCCATCTGTGAATGGCGCGTGTTCATCGAACACCCAAGATTTGTGGCTTCACTGTACATCCGGTAAAGCTTCTAGTATTAGTAAAATAAATGTTTACTGTATTGCAATGTGAGGTTTAAGGAAGTTTCAAGGACATGACAAGACAGGAAAGTTACAGGGCAACTTTTTTCCAGCTACCAGAGTATCGCTTTGCAATAGCTTTTTTTCTAGTCATAAAAAAGCACTATGGGTTAATGTATAAAATTTGTTGAGAAACCCAACACTCTTAGGTCTGCTAAATAATAGATAATGCAATTTTGTCTCTTATTTTTCTGTTCCTTATTTTCCATAGTGAGAGAGATCAGTTCTTTCAATAACCTCGAATATCTTTTAAAAATCCTGAAAAAATATTCCACAAAATCAAGGATATTGACCCCCAAACGGGTTAACAGCTGAAGTTGACTTGGAGCATGACTGTTGCTTCTGATCTTTGACCTTAGGCCCCGGTGAGCTCGAACTCCGTTTGGCCAATCCTCTGTCCTCTTTCACGGGAACAGTTCAGGCGCGTTGCCGGGGAAGTCAGGACTGGGCGTCTGTCTGCTACAGCTATTCTTGGGACCGCCGCGACGCAGAGGTGGCGTGCCGCCATCTTGGATTCTCTTTTGCTGCTGAAAGAGCGGTGATTTCCCTCGCCAACCTTGAGCCAACCTCGATCCCGTCGCGAGTTGTTATATCCGAGTTTGGGTGCGCTGGAAACGAGACTGATCTGTTGGAATGCCGACTGGGATTGACTCGCACATCTTGCACCAGTGTTCCAAGATTATCATGTGGTATAGGTAATATAACACTATGCTATTTTTCATAACAAAAATATCCACTGTAACCTAGGCAAAGGGGTGTTAGTGTGTTTAAAACAAAGGCTTACATTTGAGTGACTTTAACGTTCTGCTTCTGGGTAAACAGTCAGCAAATGTGGAAACAGATCATGTCAGCAACTTTGGAGACTTTTCTTTTGGAATGAAAATTGATTTTTATTTTTTACCTCGACATATGTAATTCTTTGCATTCTTTGCAAAGTTAATTAGCATGTAAATAACTAGGGCAATTCTATTCTTACTGAATGCCAGAAACAAGCGAGTACGGATCTCAGGTAGGGCTGTGTGGTAACCGTCACCTGTGCGGCGTAGAATGCTCCCAACAACGAGACACCACCTCCGTGCCCAGACGCGGATGTCACTGCGACGACGTATGCCTGATCTTTGGTGACTGCTGCTATGACTACGAAGAGAACTGTAACTCGGAGTCACGTGAACCTCCAACTTCCCTGAACGGGTTGCCCATTAACTGGTTCGGCTGCGTAGAAGTGCCGGGCTTCGATACTACATTCATGGGCTACTTCTTGGTGGAAATCTGCCCTGAAGATTGGCTTGGGAGTGGGATACGAGAAATGTGTGAATCGCCGGCGAATGATTCGGATGTTTTCCGGTCCATTCCCGTCTACAACAACATCACCTTTATCCAGTATAAGAACATCTATTGCGCGGTGTGTCATGGCGAGAGACACGACCAGGTGGTTCCCTGGAGCGTGGAGGCCCGTTATTCGAGTGATCGAGGGGGGCTACCATTTCTTCCAAATTTTGACGTAGGACCGCCAGCCTTCGGTACTTACACAGGCAAATTTGTAGTCAGGGCGCCAGATAGATCAGGGATTGAAATCCGCCAGTGTTCCACGCCAGCCATTGACACCTGCTTAGAGGAATACCGCGGGAGCCTGACTGAGCAAGGTTGTAAGACGTATTCTGCGTCGATGGCGTACCGGCCCTCAGCATTCTCGGGCACCATAACAAACTACCGCAATGCCTACTGCGGGAAATGCAACAACCTCACGCTTTCCCAGGGTGATTCATGCGACTACGACTACTGCGAGGAGTTGTGCGGTGATGACCCATGGGGGCGCTGTTTCAGGAGGTGTGCTGCTCCAGAAGGTTTCCTCACAATCGACGTGTTATTTAGCTTCAGTAGCCAGGGCAGCTCAATAGCTGGCGTCGACTCCTGCATGACAGGAGAGTTGTATGACCCCTTCCTCGGCAGCTGCCGGCTGCTGTCCTGCTCCTCGGGATACGAGATCATTGGTGATGAATGTGTCAAGGTTGTAGCGCCCCCCACGGTTGAACCAGATCAACCAAAGCCTGGTACTGTGACTGCATTTGCGTACAACTCAAATAATACAGTCAATGTTGACTTGGCGGACTGCCTGAGGGCGCTGCTTGGTCCAAAAACACAAGGCATTGTTTACTGGGATGCAAATCTTGACAGCGCGTCGGGAAATGTTGCAGTTAATTTCCTTACAGAAAATGAAACAACATTGTACGACGTGAGTGAGGCCCTGAATCTCCTCGTACACAGTAGTTGGTGTAATGCAACGCGGGTAGCTTTTTTCCTTGAATTTGAATATATCCTTCCCTTAGACCACTGCTTGAATTTTGTTGAAGTTGGCACCGATCTTTTTCAAGCCCATTTCGGTCAAGACATCCGTACAAAGGTTGTTCGCTTGTCACAGTTTAATTACAATACCTCGACAAGTGTATACAACTTCTTGAAGACTGACAGCGCATGTCTTGACAACAGTTTGACCTGTCCTATTTTAACCCTGAACTCTTCGGACATTGAGAAATCTGAAATTGGTAACGAAACGGTTGTCAAGTATATTCCATCCGGCCTTGTTTTGCCTCTTGGAATGTACGTTGTTCTTGCGGATGGGAGCGCAGCTGCATGCGCTGATGCTGTGATCCAACCCTCGACCCCTGGACCACCAACTACCACTGAACTGGCATATCGCTACTTGTACCTCGTTCTCACGATTCTGTCGCTTGTAGCGCTCGCAGCGACGTTCTTCGTGTATTCCTTGCTACCAACACTACGCAATTTAGCAGGCCGGTGCATCATGAACTTGGTTGTGGCACTTTTCCTGGCCAACCTCCTCTTGCTACTGAACGGGTTCTTTGTGGAGGTGCCCACACTGTGCTTGGTTGCTGCCCCCGTCATCCATTTCACCTGGCTGGCTGCATTCATGTGGATGTTGGCCCTGTCAATAAATGTGGCGCGTACCATCACCAGCAAAGTGGTCAATAAGTCTGAGGAGTCGGAAACCAGGCCGCTGTTGCTGTACATGCTCTTCTCCTGGGGAACGTCACTGGTGATCGTGGGAATTTGCATTGGGCTTCACTTTTGCCAATGCGTTGTCACCGGATCAATTTACGCCAGCGAGATAAGCTGCTATATCGTAAACCCCCAAGTCAACTTATATGCGTTTGGCATTCCAGTGGCTGTGACACTGACAGTCGGTATTTGTCTGTTCCTATTCACCGTTGTCAACCTCCGGATCTCGCGAAGTGCAACGAGAGTTGCACGTAACGAGACGAGAATGCAGGAGGCGAAAGTTGAATTTGTCATTTACACAAGGGTAAGTACTTACATTTACATGTGCAAGTATCTATAGACCTTTTTCTAGTGACGTCACGATCGTGCTGGACCTCTGATGTGTTGTGATAGTAGTGATCGCTTAGTGTTGTGATGGTAATATACTTATTCAAGGTAAACTCGTCAAGCATTTAGCGTTCGCACGTGCGCTTGCACCTGGTTGAAGCTGCCCGTAGGAATAAATACGATCACCGTGGTCAAGACGGTCCACACGGGGTGGTATTGTTTACATTTAGTCACGTGGGTGAAAAAGGTTTATTGGTATCGGCATCACAGCTTGCTGTAGGCCCTTCTAACTATTACGGTGCATCTCAAAGTGTCAATCACAACTCTTGGCTCTGTTAATATAATGTAATATAATTACATACTACTTGTGACCTTTTGATACCCCTTACCATAAACATTTTGTAAAATATTATTTCGCAGTGCCGTTTTGGTACTTCATAAGAGTTCCACCATAACCGCGTAATAGCGGCAGCTCATGTTGGGCAAGCCTTTGGGACTCGTTCTCAATGTTCATTTTGCTTAGCTCACGCATTAAGACTTTCATCGATAACTATAGCCATGTTCATTTATTCAGTAATATTATCCCGCAGCTGAGCGTTCTCATGGGTATGAGTTGGGTCTTTGGCTTTCTGACCCAAGTCATCCAGGGCTACGCCATGTTGTTTGTCTTCGTCATCCTGAACTCCTTGCAAGGTTTTTTGATCTTCCTGAGTTTCTGCTTCACGGCCCGGGTTCGAAAACTACTGAGAGAGAAGTATGGCCGGAGACACCGCTCTGATGGGCGGAGGAGGACCCGGCGAAAACCCACCGATCTTGTCGACGCCTCGGGCACACACAGCCAGATAAATTCCCATCAGTCACACTCAGCCAACACTGATACAACTCTGGTGTAAAAAGGATTTGATATTGTCTGGACTTTTATGGGCCTATAAACTTGGACTTAAAGAGTCAATTAGTGTATAGCATGGTTTAACTTACAAAATTATTGAGAGCTAAACGAAGGCATCTGATGTAAGCAGAGCAGGGCCCTTTTCCAATACTCGACTTGGGCTCCGTCTCAGGCTTCGTTCCCGAAACCAATCCCCGATTGTGGGCCTGGAGCGTTTAAATCAAATAGGATTACTGTAATTTCTGGCTCTCTTGCATCTTATTTGATGTTTTGTGGCACTATTAGACTAATTACTACGCTTACAGCTTCAAAGTCATCTCGTCAAAAAACAGTTGAAGCCTGAGACGGAGCCGAAGTTGAGTATTGGAGAGCTTGTTATTATCACCAGCCTATAGTGCCACCAACTAATAGTCTAAATATGGTGAGCCAACGGTCTTCAACCTTGTCATTGCCTTTGTTCGGAGGTATATGACCCTTCAGTACTTAAGATTTTTTTGTAAAGGTATACGACGATATTGCTTATTAGTCGAACAAGACTTATTTCTGTAACTTCCCTCTTGGTATTGTCTAAAAAAATTAATGTAGCCTTTGACCTTTTCATTAGCATGTGAAATAGCAGTCAGGTTTATTCTTGCCGCCCTTTGTAGCTTGTGGTATACATGTAAATGTATTATACGCGAGTATTACGAACTTAAATGCATATCTTTTTAATGTAATTGTAGTTTCAAGTTTTGTATTGGTAGTGGATGAAACTGAGTATATTTTGAAAAAGAAATTAAATATATTATTGTAAGATATGGCCTATAAAACCTTCAACTATTTTGAGCCACACAAGGCCAAAAAAGTCTCCGGTTTCCGGTTAGGAGTTGGCTCTGAAATTGGTGCAGCGACGCGGCTTTTTTTTTTACCCTCGCTTTTTTGGCGGAAATGATGTACCTATAAAGTGCGATGTCCATCGCGACTGCATGTGCATGCAACGCCAGCCACTACCCTCACTAAAATAGACTGCCCCCGGCTTTTTAATTGTTCAAAAGCATTCACCTTGTACATGTACACAGGACATAAGACCACCTCATTTGTCTGGTTCCCAGATCTAAATGTATGATACAGAAATGACGTCATCTGAAAAAGAGTGCCCGACTCAATGTATCGGGAACTAGAGAGACGTCACTCCTTTACTGTACAGGATTACTCAACCGTAACCCATCGAAACACGTTAAAATTACACAGTTGAAGCACTTCAGTCTTTTAAGCAAGTTTGGCAGCTTTTTTACTTTTTTGACAACTTTTTTTTATTTTGCCGAAGCACAGGTCAACGGCGACGCGCTCGCTGACCTGAAGACTTTTTGGGGGCTTAACATTTAAGATTATTGAATTAAATATTTTTTAATTTTTACCAGTCGACTGTTTAAAATTTTCAATTTTGTATGTGTAATTAACACGGTATTGTGGACCCGGCTGAATGAATTTTTCATGTAAACAATATCAATAGCAAAATAGCAAAATTCAAAACTGTTTAAATTTCTCAGGGGGAAATTAAAAGATCAACTAATTTGCTGGAAGTCAACAGCCACCCCAAATAATGGTGTGCTAGTATAAAGTAGGATATGGACCTAAATCCTGATAACGAAGTGAACTCTTTACAAATGAATAAAATCGAATGTGTGCTATAAAGCATTTTGCCATTAGCTGATCGAAATTTCAATGGGTAGATACATTTAACCGTCAATTCCAAGTGCAGCACCTTACATGTTTGCTCAATGATTACTGGGGTCGCACGTTGTTCCGAGGGCAAAGATTATCAAACAAATGTGTACTGAACGACTACAATTGGTGTGCTTTATTTTTGTCGACCTTGCTGTATTGTTTTGCACATCCTTGTTAGATACGTCCTATGGGTCTTGTTTGTGTTTTTTTTCACTTCAAAGTCAAACGAAGCATTCAACAGTGTACGTATCTTTATTAGCAGCCCCATTTTAGTGCATACGTTCTTCCAAGACTTAGAAGCCGGCAACTTAATGTTCGCAGAGCTATTCCTTCAAGCCTCTGTCGTGCACAACTGATCGAAGAAACGAGTGCATGACTGCACTTTAGCGAAGTATGGAGTACTTTGTGTTACCTAAAGAGTATTAAACAACTTTACCTGAGTTTAACTGTAGTGGGCACCAACAAATTACAGACGCCATGCAAACTCCAACGGGAGAGCGGCATGCGTTTCAGGCCGCCGATTACGCCGTCTGTGGTTCCATGCTCTTAGCGTCTCTTGCTATCGGCTTCTACTACGGTCTGAGGGGCGGTCGGCAGCACACCTCGGCCGAGTATATTCTGGCCAACCGCCGTATGACCGTGGTCCCCGTCACGCTCTCTCTCCTGGCCAGCTACTTCTCCGGTATCTCTCTACAGGGGATGCCGTCAGATGTCTACTTCAGAGGCACCATGGGCGTGTGGGCTGCCGCCCCAGTTGTGTTCAGCGGGTTCATCTCGTTGTACTTCTTCGTGCCGCTGTACTACAACATGGGAATAACATCTGTGTTTGAAGTAAGCCATTCAAGATTATAATTATTAACACCTGAATTGCACTGTTACCATAGAACTTGGCAAACTAATTCCAGCAAACTTTTCATCAAATATTATTCTCCTAATAGTCAATTACAGCAATCCTAACTGCTTCTAATGGCTCTTAAAATGCAGGCTTACGCCAGTACCTTAAACATTTGAGTGTATGAGACCGTGGTTTGAGTTTCAGCATTAATCAAACTAGTCTAAGTCTATCAAACTAATTTTACTGTCATTGTTGGTTTTACTAGTATTTGGAACTAAGATTCAACAGGGCTGTACTAGCATGTGGAGTTTTCGCCTTCATTTTCTTTGCGGTACGTATGCTTGGTAATGGCACTTTATTACTGAAATTATCAAGTAGTGCTTATTGCAATGGATGGAAACACTGCCTTGACCTTTTTTCTTTTGTTTCATCTGATAGATTCTGTACATGGGTTTGGTGACATTTGCAGTGTGCGTAGCCGCAACGGCAGGTACGATTTAAAATGTACGATATCATGCAGGGACAAGAAATGTGCCTGGCCGGGATGCGCATGTGGTTCGAGAAAACCGCATGTTAAGGCCTACCTCTCCATTTTGTGCGGCAGTGGCGTCAATCTGCTCGACAGACTGGAGGTGGGGTGACTTCAGTCAAAATACTCGGCCGAGAAAATTTTTGAAAAAGCGGGGGGGGTGTTAGGTATGTACCACATGACACTATAAGCTCGCTGCAACACTTTGCCTTGCATCAAAGTGGCATGTTTAAGCTTTTGCAATGTTCTCCCCTTTGCAGCACTGTCGAATACAATGTGGCTGTTAAGTCAAAAATCACCTCAAAATACCACGAGAAAGAGGGGGATAATCCGACCCCCGCCCCTTGGTCAAGGAAGGGGATTCATACCCCAATCTCCCGTGATTAAGGCAATGCCCCTGTTTTTCAGTGTGCAACACTCAATCAGGTGTTTGTTAAATGAACATGCATAATAATGACAACCAAGCACTTCCTGGATTACCAATTTCAATGGTCATGTGGAACTCTGCAACAATCGATGAACTGCTTCCTGAGAATCGTACTTAAAAAGTGCTGCTTCAAGATGTACTTTGCGTTGGGGAGATGTAATTTTTTTTAGTAACGGGTTTTTCATACGTCGGGCGAAACCCGTAATTAAAAATTGATAACTATGCGTCATATGGCTTTCTTTTTAGGTTCAACATTTATTTCAACATTGCCCTACAAAGACACATAGATTGTACATTGCCATACTTAAGGACAAGAATGCACATATTTAAATTCAAAATACATTTAAACAATTAAATTATTACGCAGGACAAATAATATTAACACTTGAGCACAAAACCAGAGGGCAACATCTAGGTAAGTGAGTGAAGCTAAAAGCTTTTGTACCTCGACCTGGGACTGACAAGGACAAGGACTATACAAACATTAGATAAACAGGAATGAAGCAAGACTTAGCCATGGCTGAATCTATCTGTCTGATGGGTACTTTGTACAATAATTTGGTGGCATCACAAAGTTTCCAAATATGTATTAAGTAGTGCCATTTTCAGTTTCTTGGCAAATGCAGGCAGAGTTGGCAATGATTTTAGAACGTCATTAAGTTTATTCCAACTTGAAATACCACGACTAGACAACATTTAGATTTACACAAAAAAATTCGTACAAATCGTTAAAACGTAGAATTTAAATTTGGCAAACAATGGAGTAGTACGATCACAATAACCAGTCTTATCAGTGATACGTACAGCTCTTTTTTGCAACTTCAGGATTTGTTTAACAATATGCGTAGCTCCACCCCATGTAATCATGGAAGAGTTCAAATACGGAAGAACAAAGGAATTATATAGGGCAAGCAAAATACTGCTTGGTCAATAAAATTTTAAGCGATTCATTATGCCAGTATTTTTGAAACTTTACTTGCTACATCATTACTGTGGTCCTTCCAAGTTAAATGCTCATTAAAAATAATACTTAAAAATCGAATGCATTTTGATTGTTTCAGGTTTGTACCATTTACAGCAATTGGAATAGTTTGCGTATACCTCTTCTGTTTTCCACAGAATATCATGTAATTTGATTTAAGTAAATTAATGCACAGCTTGTTGGCTAAACGCCACTTATTCATATTGATAAGCTCTCCATTGATATTTTGAACGGCTGTATCAACATTAGTGTGACTGTATAAAAAGCTGGTGTCATCTGCAAAAAGGCAAAAAGATATAATATCTGATGTATTGCAGATGCCATTGATAAAAAGCAAAAACAACAAGGGATCCAATACTGAACCTTGCGGGACTCAAGATATTACATAAGCATCCGAATTAACCCAATTGTATGAAACAAACTGTTTCCATTACTTAAATAACTTTTAAACCAGTTTAGCGCAGTCCCTTGGACAACATAATGTTCAATTTTACTAATCAAAATGTCGTGGTTAACAGTATCAAAATCTAAAATCTAAAAAAAAATCCCAATTGTAAATTTCTTATCATCTATATCACTTAAAAGTTTGCTTACAACATATGAAGTTGCTTGGTCTGTCGAGCGGTTTTCTCGGAAACTAAGAATTCCTCCTTTAGAGCGAAAACATGCTGTCAATACTTGGTCTTGTTTTCTTGTTGTCGTCTTCAGTCACAAGTGTAAGTTACTCGCTGGCTGTGGTGTGCCTCGTTGGTGTATGCACCGTCTATACAGTCATTGTAAGTATTAAATTCCTTAAAAACTGCAAACTTTCCTTGATGTGTCTTTATGAAAGTGAAAAGAGTGAATGAATTTTGTATTCTTGGGACACAAAGGGCGGCATGAAGGCGGTCTTGTGGACAGACACACTGCAGATGCTTGTCATATTCTCTACCATCATCATTGTCATCATCAAAGGAAACTTTGAGATGGGTGGCATCGAGAACGTCTGGAGAATCGCCGAAAAGGGGCAACGGATACAGTTGCTTAAGTGAGTTTCATTTGCGAAAAGTTTTACTACAAAAACGTACATGGCTGCATCTTTCTAACTCGAGCAGAAGTACCTCCTCATCGGCTGAAAAGAGCAATGTTTCTTGGGGAGTGTATATAGGTATGGGCCAGGTCCGGGTGGCTTGTTCGTGTATGTTCAAGAACAGCTGGCTTTCTTGTTCGTGGGTCAGCCCCTCGAAAGTCAGGAACGTGCAACCTGTTAACGCAGGCAGTTCGTGGCAAGTAACACGGCGAAGTCCTTGTCAATGTTTGGATAACTGGGCTGAATTCTTTTATGTAAAAAAAGAGCATGCATTTCTGTCTTCTGGAAAATTATTAATGTTAATTTTTTAAACTTCCAAATTGTATCCGGGCTTGTCAGCCATCTCGCAATTTTTTGTGGCTTTAAAAAAAAATCAAAATCTCGAGACTTTATCCGTGTGTTCCTGTTAAACCCTGACGAGGAGGTGGTGATGTGTGATCCTGTTCCGAGGACAGTGTTCTTGGATCGTGTTCCCACTGTTCAAGAGCGAGAACAAGTCAACAAACAGGCCGCCAGAACTCGACCTTATTTTTGTAACGCTTGCATGTCGCACAGTCGGTGAACCAGCGAAGTGCAGTTCCCACCAAAAGAGATTCCGTTGCTGGGAAAGGTGCGCCCTCTCTTGGTCCCCAAGGGGTGGATATCAAGCTGCACATGTAATAATTGTTTAAGTCATTTATAACATCCGTCTTCCAGGCCATATACTGACAGCATTACGAGTGATAGATAACTCTTTCCGTAAAAGTGGAAACATATCTTTTAAAAATGACACCTCACTGAAACTAATTCCTTAAACTGACAAGCAACCTGAGGACACTCTGGGCCCGCCTTCTGATTTCAAAGACTATTTGTCAAAGTATTTATATTGAAAGACTATTTTCAATTGTTATTTTCTTCCTGAAAACCACAGTACCAGCCCCGATCCGACTGAATACTACACTGTGTGGGGATTACTCATTGGCCAGTTAGGAACTGCAGCCACTGTGCACATCAGCAACCAGTATATGGTCCAACGCTATCTGGCATGCAAGAGCCTCAACGTGGCAAAGACGTGAGTTAGTTCTGTAAGACACATTCTGACTCCACTTGCATTCCGAAGCGCTGTTAGTCACTCAGTATATAAGCAAGAAGCATAACAAGTTATATCTGGTTCGTAAAATTGCTTCTTGGCAATGTTCAGTGTGTTTTTTTGGCAAGGAATTGTTTTCTTGAAGCGAACAATCCTGAAAATTACTATCAGATTCTTTGTTCCTCTCGGCAAGGAACAGCTTTTGGTCAGTAACAATAGATGCTTTAAGTGGGATGACTGAAATGACTTGACTATTAACAACAACCATTATTCTTTAATACAAACTCCAGCCGTTAACCCTACCATTTCTCATCAGCGCTTTGATTGGTTTCATGGTTGGATCAACCGTCTTCACTTTCCTCTGTGTTCTGGGCGGGGTAACCATCTACGCTTACTACGCAAAGTGCGACCCCTATACCCAGGGACTCCTCGCTCAACAGGACGAGGCAAGTCTCAATACCAACGTCCATTCAAAGTGGACAGTGATTACATTCAGTTGAATAGTGTATGGTTTGGCCGATGTCAAACATGCATTTGTCCACAGTATTGTTAAGATTATTTCCAGATTGATATTTGGTAGTGAGTTACAGAGATCGGCAGTGTCATTATTTTGTTGGTTACAAATATTCCCGTTTTTCCTATTATTGTGTTTGATTGTCTGTAGATATTGCCTTACTTTATTACTGAGGTCTTCCGAGGGGCACCAGGTGTAGCTGGTTTTCTGTTATCTGGCATATTTGGAGCAGCTTTAAGGTAAATGAGAATTGCTCTTTTTAAAGTGATTGTTGACATATTTACTGAAGTAAGTAGTTCTTGATATTGTAACCAACCTGGGTTATGGACAAACAACCAACCGCAGGATAGTGGTGCCCGCGGCAATGGTCCTTGCTGACACGCCTGCATACACGCCGAGCGGACCTTTCGTAGTTCCCGGTTTGTTTGTTGGGTTGTTTGTTTGTTTGTTTGTTTTTGCTTTAACTCTCGTTTTCTGTCGCTGCGGTCTATGTTGAATAGCATATGCAGTAAGGCCGCTGTGTCATATCGCTAACTCTGCGTACAAGCATGCGTACAAGCCGGCGTACATGAGGACGTCTATTATATAGCAGGGTGCCAATTCTTGCCTGCAGGGCTTGAGGGTAGATTTCCTCCAAACGGAGCGACGTTCCCTTTTTCCCGATAGCCACTTGTCGGGAAGGCTGAATCCAGGTCCACCTCATCTTCCAGCAAATCTGGATGACCTGCTAATTGAAGGCTCGTCGGCACGCTGCAGTATTTTCTCAAGAAATAAAAAAAGTAATTTGTGATCAGGTTAATCTTGGCCAGAAATCGTTTGAGCTCCTGCCCTGGTCATGTGCTTTGAGGCTCTGAATCCAATATTTTGTGTGAATGTCACTGTAATTAACTGCATTCAGGTAATCTCCAAACTGGTATCTTTCCTCTTTCAAGCACCTTGTCGTCTGTGCTGAACGGCGTAGCTGCCTTACTAGGTGAGCATCTCGTCAAACCTTGCTGGAAGACCCTCAGTGACGAGAGATACACACTCGTCTTGAAGATCATCGGTATGAGGCACATTCTGTTAATTTTGTGGGCCTATAGTCTGCCCAATACAAAGTTTCCCTTTTTGGTTCTTCTTTTTTGAGCAACTGTTTACAATGTGTTTTTTTGTGTGAAATAAGTGCCCGTTTTTCAAGAATTCATTTGTTTATGTGTTTCAGCTACAGTTTTCGCACTGGTTACTTTTGGGATGGCGTTCCTGGTGCCCTTGATGGGGAGTGTCACGCCTGTAAGTTAAAAAGCAATAGCAGCCTTTTTACAGGTTAGCCATCCGAAAACACATCAACGTAAAGATGTTTGAAATTTCCAAGATCCTACATTCAAGCTGCTTATTCTCTCCAAGCTTTATTGTTTGATTTGAACTAAAATCAAGGAAATATAAACATACACCGACAAATGTTTATGTGTACCATTGACTTTTGACCGCTGAAATTTTTCAAGGGAATCATCAGGTTCATTAAAATACAGTAGGTACAAAGGAATGAAGTGGGGCCGTGCCACCCCGTCTTTTCTTTTGTATTCCTCTATTCAAATGAGCCTAGATCTGCCAGTGTTTTTATGTTCCGCAGACGGTGCTTGCTATCGGCGGTGCCTCAAATGGTCCGGTTTTGGCTTTGTATCTCTTAGGGGCGTTCTACCCTCGTTGTGGCTCAAAGGTTTGTCCGACGAAGACGACAGAAACATTGGTTTGAAATTGCTCGTTTGATTTATTAGAGATAGTTGGTGCGTATTTGCCACAACCCTAAAATGGTCTTATGCACGAACATGAGGTTTACGGGCATTGGCTTTGCAGGCTGCCTTCGCTTCCTATGTGGTCGGAGCTGCTGTGGGTGTATGGCTGGGTGTTGGGAACATTATTCACGGCGGACCGTCTGATGCTGAATTGCCTTTATCGACAGAAGGCTGTGATGAGATGAACGTGACAACAGAGACCGTGGTAACGCAGTACGTAATGAACGGATTTGTGACGGAATACCTGAATAGTTCTTTAGCCACTGTTGAACCAACAGTAGAACGGTTAGTGTTATCGTTTAAATTTCAAACAAGAATCTTTGATTTTAAATTGTAACCAGAAACTCCACTGAACAGAAATCTGTCAGATATTTGTCCATCTACGGCTGACAGTATGTAGGCCTAACCTGTACATGTTTTTTTTTTCAGCAGTGGACCAATTTTGGGGCCTCTGTATTCCGTGTCAAGAGTTTGGTACCCAACTTTGACGTGCGTTTTGTCTATTTTAGTTGGCGTTGTCAGCACCCTTATTTTCGGTGAGCACATTATATCATCTGCTTTTCAGATAAAGATGCGAATCCTTTCTGAATTCATAAACGAGGACAGTAACTGTATCCTTCCTGTTTTCGTTTCGATCATCATCAGGTGGCAATGAGCAAGGAATCGTGGATCCAAGATTGCACGTCCAGGTGCCTGACTGGTGTTATTGCGCATGGCTGTTAGGAAGGAGAAGAGTGTCATCATATGCAAAAAGTGAAGATGAAGAACTCGAGGTAAAACTACCTCCACACATTGGTTGAAGACTGTTCTTAAAGCTGGATAATAGGTGGCACAGTATTTACAGGGGCAGATCTATCTTGTAGCCACATTTGGGGTTGTACGGTATCAGCCTCTGCGTGCTTCCCGTGCATCCCTCTTGAGATACTGTCTACTGCATAAGGCAATGAATATAATTACAGCATTCATCTTGGTTCAATTTAGGCATCATCAAATTTGTCAGTGGCTCAATGTGCTGGGATTCTTGGATCTTTTGAATTTTTGAATAATGGATTACAAAAGTTGGATTACAGTTTCGTCTATCACATGGCTAATCGGTGAAAAAGAACGGTAAAATTGCAGCTGCCTGCTTGATGAAAGTATTTCTGGGATAGCTTGTCGAACAAATGAACATTTTATTTGATTTGCTAGTATGCAATCGTAAAGGCATGCAGACATGTGGCCAAGCTCGATAGTGGTCGTAATAGGCATCATATTAAAACATCATTATCATTTCATTTTTCTTAATCTCTCCCCCCCCCCAGGAAAAGGGTTCGGTGAATGCATCCAACATACTGCTGAAACAGCACAAGTCGGAAGAAACCTCTCTGTGATCCGGGTGTGAAAGACAGCCGGGACAGGCTCCAGAAATAAGACTCGGACCTGTTGTAAGATCAAGCTATATCGACGTCATGTGATCTCGATTCCAGCATTCCTTCTGCTATTGCCGTCATACTTGTCGATAATGAGTCTCGATCAAAAATTCATAAATAAGAAATTATTGGTGGAAAGCATTACTTAGTTTGAAGATCGTTCTTGAGCTAAACTACCTATGGAATTATTCTTTCTGGGCCGGGAAATTGTCATTTTGCAGAAAACAATGAAAGAAGGCCAATTTTACGGTGCATCTAGAGACGCATTTTAAAAAATTGTCATGAGAACCGCACGCAAGGGTTGAGTTATAGTAACTCGCTCGGCTGAAGGTGAGAATGTGTCCCAGACGCTGTTCAGTGAATTTAGGTTAACAACTTTTGATCTGAAATCGTAATGCAAGAAAACAAGGTATTATTTTTCTCATTCACTGACCTGAAATTGCATGCATTTGCTTTGTTCTCGCACACTTTTTAGATTTGGAATATTCATTACCTCAAAGGACCATAATGCAAAAGTGGCAGATGATAGACTGAAAAGGGCCTGAAGTTATTGTTTTCATGGGAAGATTCCTTAGTTTGCAAGTTGGAAATTCAATGTATCAATGTCTTTAATATAAATTGATAACAACATTGCATTTAAGCAAAAGATGTTACTTTACATCTTAGTTGTTATAATAACTTAATTAAATCTGTGATAAATTTTTTTTATTTTAATTATTTTAATGCAATTTTTTGTGCTGGAAAACAAAAGGGACTCCAGAGTATGTAAACTAAGAGCCACCGTAGATTTTTCTAAGGGAAAAACCAAGAATTTGTATTGAAAAAGACATCTATTAAGCCAATATTGATGGTTAAAGTTAGCAGCGTTATGATGCTGTGTAAGGCTTTTTTCCATTCATTACGAAGGGATAGCCAGGCGTTTGTTCATTCATATACTAGAGTTTGGAGAATTTCATGCTTTTAATGCGAAAATGAAAGGTTTGACCTTGTCAGTTTCTCCCATGCACTGAGTGCAAAACTCTGTCTATATTTCAGCGTGCATGCTTATATTTTGTGATCTCACAGGTTATTTACAATATGAGTGTCACAACGAGGATAGTTGGGATTTTGGCTCATATCTTTGGGTATTTTGCTTATTTTACAAACACCTGCAAGGCCTATTGCATAGAGCTAGAGGCGGTCAGTTAAACTACATGTACATTCAAACCCGAGACCAGAGTTTGAGTAGGCCTACTGCATGCGTATTTTTGAGGGGGTTCCGGACAACTCAACCGTTTGCCAACTTGACTTCGGACAACTCGACCGTTGAGACAACTCGACCGTTGGGACTGTCTGCTCAGCCCAGTCGTCTACTGAGGCAACGGTGTAAAATAATATAATATACATGTATGCTTTAATGATGGGATGGAATTTCATGATGTAAAACAGACAAGCCCAATTTCTAAGGGAAGTACAAAAATAGTGGTTGTAGTAAGTCTTTGCGCAATTAACCGATCTTGCACCTGCGCTGCACGTACTAGTATAAGGCCCGTATGCATTACAGTCATTTTCCCGGAGTTCCGCATAGCTTGAAATAAAACCCACTTCCTTGGTATTGTCCTTCAGTTCTACATTCTCAGACAGTTTCTGGTTTAAAGTGAAATGTAAAGTTCTTGTTGAACAAAACTGGCTTCGGAAAATTTTGGCCAAAATTCTGATTCCCGCTTTGACATTTTGGAACGGTAGCGGGAAAAAAATGACGAATAGTCTAGAGCGATATATGTCACTCACTGCGAGCGATCCCAAATCCTTTTTTTTCATACTCAACAGTCATATAAACTCTTGCATCTAAGGTCTGTTTAACTTCAAAATAACTGTCAAAGTTGCGTTTTATTAAAAACTGGCCGAAACTGAACGCATATTATTTCCCAGTTTTGGATCGCACATTAAGTGCATGCACGCAATTATACTATTATACTAGTCATCTCGCTATACGGACGCTGCAGAGATGTCGTGACGTAATGGGTTTGTCAGCTGTGCAGCTGAAAAAATCCCTTTCTTAATTCATTAGAATTTTTATTTATGAACCAAGTTTTTTTTAATTGAAAAATTTTTCATTAAAAGAAAAGCTTTTTACAATGGTTCTGGCTGAAAATAGATTTGCCGCTCGCGTCGTTACTTTCCGGAAACCGATCCAGAATGAGAAAATGTGTCACCATTTTCATAGATCCTGTACGTCCAAATTAAAATTTGCAACTGATTTGGTGGTAACCATGGTATCTCTATCACACAAGGAGGACAGTGATTAAATTTCACTGGAATTAAGGATTTTTGTAGAGCTGCAATCTGACTGAATAATTTTGCGATCTTGAACAGGGAAAACGACTGTATAATATGTGAAGCAACTGGTTAAGTTGTCTCTCTGTCAACGTCGAGTTGTCCTAACGGACGACTTGGCAAACGGTCGAGTTGTCACAATGGTCGAGTTGTCTCAACGGTCGAGTTGTCTGAAGTTGAGTTGGCAAACGGTCGAGTTGTCCGACATCCTTTTTGAGGAAGTGAGGTTTTAAAATGAGGTAATTAACACTTAACACATGAAATTGAAAAGAAAGTTGTCCTAGCTTGTCATATCTTGAATTGCCAGCCAAACACTAAAGCCACCTTGTTCCTGCGTGAATTTCACCAGGACAGTGGTGCTATTTCTTTCCAATTTTGCGTCACATCAGCCTGGCAAAGGGGCAAAAAAGTCACACACAGGTAAATACCCTTTAGCGCCGCACAATAAGTTGACTGCAGAAATGCAACGAATCCCGATGAATGGGTACCCGACCCGCGCCAGAAAGAATGCGCACGTATCCATTTGTTTTAGGCCTATCGCGCTAGAATTCATCAGATAATCGATGCTCAATGAGCTGAAATGAACCAGAAATATAAAAAATTAAAATTACAGTGATGAAATAAAACATACATTTTACATTACATCTAAGGTCGAGTTCGGGCGGCCTGTTCAATAGTCTTGACAAGGAC